GTGTCTATGAAGTTGGCAAATTTGACTGCTTTGTATTGCAGAAGATGTATGAAGTCTACAGGAGCTGCGTGTAGAATTTGTTTTCTAATGTATGGAAGAATCACTGGCAACCCTTCTGAGGATATCCGGAATGAACATGGTGCAGTGGTACCTTCTCTTGAAGTTTGGCGTTCCTATATTCCAAAATAAATTATGTTCAATAAGAAAGCAATCCAAGGGGAATCAGAAGTATATGAGTACAGCAGATATACTCACAAACATCTTCAGACCAATGGAAGTTATCTTCAGTTGCTGCCCAACTTGGAAATTCAGTTCAAGAACATCCTTGACCGACTTTGAAATATAGTAAATTCTCTTCACGTGGTTAGTGTCGTTGTTTCTTGAGACGAGGTGGCCACTGAATGGAAAGGCTTCATCAATACCATAAAATGTCTTAATGCTGTTGATGATAGTTTCATCTTTGAAGAAAATAACAGGATCAACCCCTCTCCACTTGCCTTGAATCTGCAGTTTTCTGTTTCCTACAGATTTTGCTGACTCGGCTTTGTTATCAGAAGGCCCCTGTTCAGCTTCTGCATGACTGGATTCAAAGGCAACTCCATCTAGTTCACCAACCAAGTCAGCCTCTGAACCTGCTTCAGATATCCTCTCATCTGTACCACCTACTGAATCAACTCTTGTATCTTCAATCGCATGATTAGATAATTTTTCAACTAGTTCATCATTTCCAGTTGACTTATTCTCTCGTACACTAACAGATTTGTCCTGAGTTGCTGCAGCAAACATTATAATAACAAAAAAAAAATTGTAGACACCTACTGTAAAGGGCAGCTAAGAGGAAAATTGATATTTTTTACCGTGGAAGCTAGTAGCATATCTTAATCAAAAGATACAGATGATGGAAGCTAGTAGCATATCTTAATCAAAAGATACAGATGATGTATTTATAAATTGAATATCATATGTGAGGTGTTTATATAGATGAAACACAAATAAAAAGGGAAGAACAAAAAAAAGATAAAATAAGGATAAAAAAAATCAAATCTTGGAGGTGAAAGGAGATCTAACACCCTCTTTATTGGCCAGAGGGAGACCTAATACCTTACCATGTTGATTCCTAGGAAAGATAAGTCGACCTAAAAGGTTTGCAATTACCTGGCAAGGGGGAAAGTTTGCAAAGGACAGCAATGAAAAAGGCTCCGGTGTTCTGATCATGAGGCACTATTCTCATGCAGTGTTCTAGTGGGAGATCAGAAGCTTCCTCCTCCACATCATCAATTGATGTCATAGGATCTTCTTCTGGTTGGGTTCCATTTTCAGAATGTACACCTTCACCATTCTCACACTTCTGGTTATTGTCAGCTGTGTCTACGTAACTTCTGCCAGAAGGAAACATGCTGGGAGCAACCACACTTCTTCGGAATCTGGGAACATTTTTGTAGGAAGCAAACCAAACTCCCTTGTCACATACCTGACGCAAAGGTAAAAAATACAATAATATATTAAAGAAGGAACGAGAAACAGGAAATATAACTAATTAAAATGCCTGAAAACTTTTTTAACTGATCATAAGAAGACATTACAGTTATTTTCCATGTCCAGGCACAGTTTGATCCATATTTTAAATATATTACCCTAAGTCCCTGATCACCAGATTCAGTCTAACCAGGCAAAATGATGGAATGTGTATAAAATTTGCAGAGACTTTATATTTTGGAGCCCTTCCCCTACAAGAATGTGTGCTATTCTCAGAGAAGTCAATTCTATTACTATTTCAATTGCCACCTTAGCCTGGATGTAGTAATCTGTCACAGTTTAAAATAGATTTTATCTAAAGCGGGGTATTTGATTGTCATTCCAATGGAAAGATAAAACAAGCTCATAAATGGGTGATACCAAGAATATTGATGTTGAATTTATAATTTTGAATTAAGTCAAACATACAATGCACTGTTTTTTGTGATTATTCCATCACTTTGAAAAGACAAAAAATCCATATCAGCAAAGCCATCAAATTGCAGAAATGATGCAAAACAGAATAATCTACATATTATAGACGTGGTAACTAACCTTCCATTTTCTCAGACCTGACCGTCGAACTAGTTGAGGAAGCTCACAAGAGACATCGACCAGTTCCACAGACCCTCCACATTTCCGTAGAATCTTAAAAAATAAGATACAGGGTTAAAAGAAAATAAATATTTGCAGAAAAAGAATTGAGAACCAAAAAAAAAAAAAAAAAACAGAAAAAGGGAAAAATGCAAAAAGATCAAGTAGCCAATTCCTAACAATGCTTTGGAAAATCCAAGGGGATGTGAAAACTAACTGTCATATGAAAATATCAAGTAAAGAGCACAAAAAACAAAAAACAAAAAATAAAAAAAAGGAGAGAATGATACAATGCTGAATCAATGTCAAAAGAAAAATGAAAGTATAACAATGAATTCCAAAATATGAAGCTTACACATGTACACCACAAGTTTAAATGGAATAGATCATCAGCAATGACGAGAAAACCTAATGCAAGCACCAATGCGCTAACCAGTTCAACAATATTATTTCTTTTGAGTTATATTATTTTGTAGGATGAATTTATAGGCAAACCCTCCTGCTAAAGAATCATGCCGGTAAGCTTAAGCAATCAAACTCTCATTATCTGTTCAACACTCAACTGAAAATTCTAGATTGTGTTCATGCATCTTGGCCAATTAGTTGGGTTTGACATGGTTTCTTCCAGTTATAACTTTTATCATCAAATTCTTCACAATGCTGCATTAGCACATTATCTTCTAGTGGTTGTTGTTACTCCTCTGCCAGGGACTGAGACATTTAATTCCAACCTACTGCCATCCATAACTATATGCAAACAAAAAGATGAATATGTTAAATTAAACTAAAACATGTTCTAACAAAATTACCACAATTAGATATTTCAATGGACGTAAATGGTGAATTGAGAACTATAATGACACATTAATAAGGCATACTGAAAAGGAAAACATTTAATAAGACATACTGAAATGTGAAATCATACATGATAACATTACTTCACATTATTGATACATTACCTCAGCAACTACAGCTTCATTTTCAACTGGGTTCATTGAGCAGGTTGAGTAAACCATTCTTCCGCCAACTTTAAGCAGAGAGAGACCTACCACAACAAATGTAACAACTTAGACTTAAATCCATGGACTTGGAGAAAAATCAAGATTTTCAATGAAGAGATACCTCGCATGGCAATATGTACTTGTAGGAAATGGAGCCCATTGCCCATTCCTGTATTCCTGTAAAAATGTAAAAATATTAACTTAAACAGAAGGTATACAAATGGTAGGAGAAGAAAGGGAAGTGGGAATAAGAACAAGAGAGAACCAACCATCTGCGCCAGAGATCTGGAGCTTTGCGAAGGGTACCATCTCCACTGCAAGGAACATCACATAGGACACGATCAAATAGAAGTTGCCTAGTGCTTGGCTCTAATTCATTCGCCATTTCTGAACCACGTGACCATTTTTTGTACAAACAGCAACCAGGGAAATGTTGAGCTTCATTGTTTGTAACTATGAGGTTGGCAGTGCACATTCTTTTTGTTTGGTGGATGAGAAGATTACATCTTTGGATATCAAGATCATTAGCTATAACCTAACCAGCAAAATAAAATAATGAAATTAACCTAACTAGAAGTATAAGAGTCTTTATTATAAAAGGCCAAAAGCCAACTCACAAGCCACAAAAGTAAAATCTAGAGATTCATACTCTATCAGCATACAGAGAACAAGGAGAGCTCAATAAAACCTAGAACAAACAGGGCAGAAATTAAAAAAGGAGATTAATAAAATAGACAAACCATGCCACCAGGTAATAATTGTGGCTTTGTCGAGTGGTGCATAATCTCAAGTAACTGAAATGTTTTTGAACCTGGTGCCGCACACACTGCATAAAAGTAAAAAGGAAAAAGAAAAAAAAAAAGAAAAAAAAAAGGCAATCAGCAATTAGCAAGTGCATCACAAAAACAGCGCTATTTCAATTAGGGATACAGAGAAGTGGAAAACAAGGCTATGATAGTAAATCAGAACCCAAATATTTAGAAGATAAAGAAATATATACATGTCCTGGTTGATGAGAAAATTATTCCATGGACCACAACAAGAAGAATGAGAATAAAGAACACCTTGGGAGTGCTATAAGATGCTTACTATCAAGTACCAAATGATCTGGATGTACATCTAGGAAGAGAGGAGGCACCTGCACCAAAAGCAATTATTGAGCTGGAGAAAACTGGTTACGTCCATGGACAATGAAATTACAAACATATAAAAGAAAACATTGGTCTATAAACCACAATAGATAAAATTTGCCCACCATGCTGACAGCCTCCTGTCTGGTGATGTTTCCAATCTCATTTTCTAGCTTTAAAAACTCATGAAACCTGAAAGAATTTCACCATATCATGAATTGAAAGAAAAACATATGAATAAAAATTCAGAAACTAAAAAGGTGATTGAAACCAATAGTTGAATGCAAACAGGATGGCGATAAGACAAACAAAATGTACACATAAACTAGTAGTGAAAGACCAAATGCCTAGCTCAACGAGATGGAAAATACAAATTATAAAGGCAACTATTATGTGGGTTTGCTTTTAATGACGTGATATCAATATTTCAAAAACATATGTAATTACTTCACGAAAATTTTAAGTGAGGGAATTTTAATAGTCTCCAATCTAGGACACTTAAGCAACAATAATACCAAGATATGACACTACTATAACATCATAATTAGCTAAAAGTTTCAACTTTTATTTATTTATTTATTTATCAGATGAAATTTCTTAGTTATCCAAATCCCTGTGTTGCAGGCTTGCAGCATAAACTAGACAAATTTAAAGATAAAGAATTACAAGTATGCCCAGGAACAGAGTATATACATGAGAACGCCTTCCTTCATATAAATACAGAAATGAATGTGTGCAAGCATAAAGTAAACAGAAGGAGACTCTGCATTTTGCTTGAATAATATTTGCCAGAAGGTTAACTGTACACACCTATTATTGAATAAGATATGGTCAACATATGGCCAATCCATGCACTTATCATAATCCCATGCATTTTAGATGTACATATATAGCCCCAACAGTAACACATAAAAACTGGACAAATGTGTTTGGCACCAAGCCAACCAGACTACTGCATTGCAAGTTGCAACAACAGCTCGCCTCCTTTAGAAGCACATATATAGCAAATAAAAAAAAAGTAACACATAAAAAACTGCCTAGTTATGCACAAGATTCAGCTGTTAAAAGTTACTGAATAAATAGTCATATAGCATATAACTCACCTTCCAAGGGTTTGGTTTTTCCTAATCTGCATGCGGGAAAAATTTGACTGCCATGCAAGATTATCAGGGTACCAAGGCAAAGGTTTCAGAGCCTCCGGTTCACCCCCTTCAATGGCCTGAGAAGAATGATTAACAGCCGTCAGTTCGTACCCATAACTAACAGAAGCAGCATTATAAATAAAGCTTTCTAGTGTCAAGGTAAGCTCTAGTGTTTACCTCAGCTTGAAGAGATCTCACAAAGTCCTTCTCTAGTATGGACCTGATATCTTCACAAAATTGGCTACTGAAAAAGAGAAAACCAATTTGTTAAGAAATTACTTTTGAACATATCTAACATCCTTAGATGAATAAATAAAGCTTAATGAATTCGTTATAATGTAAAACCACATAAATCCAAGCTCTTACTAGTTCAGTAGTTCCAACTTTCAACATCAACAGGACGTGATGAGAATAAGATTACTTTCTAATTCATCCAAAAGAGAAGAGACTAGCATGATTCATACCGAACGCCGGTTCAAGAATATTAGTCTGCGCGAAGTAGGAAGAAACAGACAATAAGAAAGAAAACTTTACCTGGAGTTAATCCTGAAAGCAGCAGGAAGAGGTTTCCGAAGCATTTCAATGAAGGCATCCCAATCTTCTGGCGACACTATACCTTGCTCCTGCTCAAGCATAAGTAAAATTTAAATGTACCCACAAAACAAAAGACCCATATACACGTAAGTATGCAAACTACATAGAGACACGTACCTTGTAGTATTCATCAAAGGCGGGGTTCTGGGTGGCGAAGGGCTTCCAGGTGGTGTTGTCGCCGGTGGGGTTATTGGGATCAGAGGAGGGATCGGTTTTCGGTCCCTTCCAAACATTCTTCCTGTTCTCCTTAAAATGCTTCCTCTGAGTGCGAGACCCTCTTCCTCTTCTGCCCATCCTGTGGCCGATGGAAGCACTATGCTACTCGCCTTTGGTGACCGCCGCCGGGGTTTTAGGAGGGTAGAAGAAGATGGCGATGAAAAGGGAAGTTGCCAGTTGCCGTTTCGGCATTAGCGGCGGATTGTAGAATGTGGGGTTTTGCTATACCTATGTCCAGCGTTACAGCCCAGAGTACAAAGTTACTGTTTTTTATCTAAATATTCAATGGGCAGTGGTGTCTTGGGCTTGAATATAGAATATTGAGCCTTATATATTGTGAATATGATAAGAGTTAGCTGCACTTACCATTATATTTTGGCTATGATTGGTTCAAGTGCAATTTTTCTTTAAAAAAAAATAAATAAAAAAAAAAAAAGGGGAAGGATCAATGAGAGGAGGGCACATAGTGTGGCTTGGATTTTGGGACGTTAATTTAGCATAATAAAGTATTGAAACCTTTATTGAAAATTTGGTAAAAGTTCGAGATTTTATTGGACTCGTTTGCCAAGTTAGAATAAGGTTCCTTGATGTGTAAGTGTGTGGTTTTGCACATAATATGTTTGAATAAAAATTAAAAAAAGAAAAAGAAAAAAAAGGAGGGTAAGGATTTCAAAGGGACAGCAAATTCATATATGTTGTTTTCAAAGAACTGAAATGTGAGTGTGGTTTTGTATATATATGAGCATTCCTCAAAGAAACGAAGATGCAAACTCAAAAAATTCAGCGGCGCAACGAATTCATTAACAGGCAGAATCACCGCCAAGTGTTTTATGCATGATCATACTTCTCCAGGTACCCACAAATTGTCAGTGGTGAAGAGGGCATACATGACAAGACGAAAATGCATGATACGGTGGAGAATTATAGTGTGTTTTAAAAGTGACTAAAAATTGATTTGGAATTTGAGGGGGAAAGGAGGGAGGAATGAGAATAGTTAAAGCACAACCTAAAAGTTAACTTGCCATTTAAAAGTACAGAAAAGAGAAGTGCATTCTGCCCAAAACAGCATCGTCAAAGAAGAATATGCAATCAAGATCCACATGTAATTTTAATTTTAAATGAACAAAATCTCAAAGCATTCGAACCAAAAAATTCCTGAACTCTCAGATTGTTGAACAAGCAAAAGTACCTCAAACCTACATAAAGTTTTTAGCATCTGCATTACATAAGCATTTGCCATGCTTAAGCTGCAGTGGATGATTTGGCAGCAGAGAGCCTTGATCTCCTCTTTGCCACGCTTTCACTTCGGCGCTCACGCTGCTCCTTCAACCTGGTGGCAAGGAGCTTCTGATACTCAGCTGCCTCTGCCTTGGCCTTAGCAATTCTCTTCTTCTTATCTGCAATTCTTGCACGCTTCCTCTGCAAGGTCAAAGGAGTTACCAACCTCTGAATTTTGGGAGCCTTGCTGACCTTCTTGCCTGCAGAATCAAAATTTTAAAATTAGCAACAGCTTCAGTTACTAGGTTAAAAAATATGCAATAAAAGGTTTATCAAAATCAAAACAAAATCTAGTGCAGTATAATGGACCAAATCAAAATACTGTCTTAGTTCTTACTAACCAGATTTAGTTGTGAAGGTTCGGCGGTAAGTATTAACATATTTGCGAACATCATCTTCCTTGGAGAGGTTAAACAACTTCCTGATCTTCGATGCCCTCTTAGGACCCCTCATTCTTGGCTTCTCAGTGTCAGTCAACCCAGGGAGATCATTCTCACCCTTCTTCACAATAACCAAGTTAAGAACAGAAAGGTCAGGGCTAACAATGCATCCACGAACAGACTTCCTCCTACGCTCTCCATTTCGCCTTCCATAGCCACGGAAGCAAGGGGTACCTGTTCAAATTAATGCTTTTCAATACTCAAATAAAAATCTCCTAGAAAAACCATTCTGTTGATTTCTAAAAAATCTAACTACAAGCAAAAAAATTGCTAAGTCCACAGACCTCTGTGAAGCAAAAGACGGACACGGCCAGGTGTCAAAACTCCTTGCTTCATTGGAAAACCCTGCTTGTCACATCCTCCCATGATCTTGAACACATAGCCCTTGAACTCCTATCAGATGATATAAGGCATAAGCAGTAGGGTAAATTTAAGAGAAGCCTACCTCAAACAACCAAAATTTCCGTCAGAGAGAGAGAACAGCCCAAGCAATGACTTATACCAAAACATACCTCACCCAAGGCGTCACCACTGACTTCTTGTGAGATTCTCTTGTCAAAAAAAGCTCGGCTGTATCATCAAAGTTGTAGTTAGTAAACTTTCACACTCATGCAAAAGGAAATGGATTTCATTACAGCAGGAAAAAGTCTCTAAGGTTACATACACGGTAATATATCACAGGCAACTTAAACCTAGAAAAGTCTTATTGTTGTAAAGAAATTTCTGACTAACTCATATGGACATTTAAACAATATATATTAATAAAAATTGGAGTTCCTTGCCGGCCCAATTGAGTTATATGATGAGTCTAAACATAATTACGAGCAACAAACAAAACACCCACAAGTCACTTCTATAAAAAAGAGACAATCACCCAAATACTCTGTTTATTCCATGAGAATTCAGGCAGCAAATTCAACAACCAGACTCCATTGTATTGGGAAGCTGACTACCATTGTACACTTTTTAAAGACTCGGTGAATTCATCAGCGTCATCCAAATAACATCAATGCTAAAAAATGGCCTCAAACAAAATCCACATTTGCATTCTAATGCGCGTGTTTGCTAATGAAGGAACTAAGTATAAGATTCAGCACCGGAACATGATAAAGGAAGCAATAACAACTTCAAAAAGAATGAACGGAAAGATACAGTTTTTGATCATCGTCGATTTCGAGCTTCTTCTGACAACCAGTGGTCGGATTTGCGATGTTGAACTGAAACAAAACAAAAAGTGAAATCTCTGCATCAGAAGATGCCAACACTAAAAGAGATTTACGTTATAAAGAAACGAAATAAAAACCTTCATCTTGTTCTATTCTTCTCCGGCTCCGGGAGGAAAATGCCGCCGCCGCTACTGCCTTGCTCGCTCAGGGTTTCCTCGTAAGATATATTAGGGTTTCTGAGGTTCTTATAGGTGTGAGGTAAAGTCTTAGTTGGAAGTCGGGTTTTTTTTTTTTTGGGTCCATGTCTTGAAGATTGGGCTTCGGTTAATCTCCTATATGGGCCTGTGACTGTGAGTCCTATAGGCCTTGTGGATCCAGATTCACTGCTGCCGATTTTACCAACGGCCCTTTTGCGAGCCTGTTAATCGAAAAAAAAATTCAAATAAGAATATTAATTTTGTATTTTTTATTTAAAAATATTAATTTTATCAATTTCTGTTATCAATTTTTAATTTCTTTTATTTAAATATGCCAACATTCAAATTTTTTTATTTAAGGATTCATTATAAATTTATGCTAATGTAGTAAATAGATTCTTAAAGAAAAAAAAAGTTAAAAATTAAATTCTTTATTTAAAATTTAATAAATTAATATTCTTAAAATTTAAAAAAATACAAAATTAATATTTTTAAAATTTAAAAAAAATACGAAATTAATATCTTATATGCACCTTTTCTCCTGTTAGTCGGATCCTATCTGTTCTCTCGTTCTTTAGGGCCTCAACTTAAGTATAAGTAATGTGATTTTTTTATAATATCAAAATTAGTTACTGGTCCTCTTAGAGTTTGGACTCTTACCTTTGATCTCGAATCAATATAAGAAATTCAAATCAAAAGTGTTGTACTTTGGCGAGTCTTTTAAACCATCTTTATCTACAAATTTTTTTCAATCATTTCTCTTTTTATATATTTATATATATTTTACTGGCAATGATTACAATTTCAAAAGACTAAGAAATTTGCTACATAGAATCAACTATTTCTTGACCCCATTACCAAAAAAAAACTATTTCTTGACCCTTTCAGGAAATGGTTTCTGGCAGGGCTACCTAACTGATTTGATTTTGATAAGATAGCCGCAGTGGATTATATCAGTCAGTCCTATACCATGCCTCACGCCTGCTGTTTTTGACGTTCTGCACCCTGCCAACGTCTTACAGCATTTCCCCATTATTCTAAAGATGGCACAAGTACAGATGCACACGTCTATTGGTGAAGTATGTATGTCATCGCTTTTGAAAAGACGCTAATTTTAGCAGGCATGCTCCAATGATGAAATAACTTACGATATTTGCATGTGTACATTATTCGGCACAAAAGTTGAGAACTCACATGTACAAGGTAGTATTGGGGCATCATATGTAGATCACATTCATTAGCGCAAAAAGATTTAAATTCCATTCATCCCTCATTCAAAGTTCGTATCCTGGGAACCTAGAGTTCTCGGGTGCAAGCAGATCGAACCACAAGCAGGCTGTTCCTGCAAGCCCTTGGAAAAGGGAGTAGGCAGCATTGTCAGCTCCACGCAAATGCCCAACGTTCACAAGCTTACTCGCATTATGATACAAGAAGCTTGCAAATGCCTTTGCCCTCTCTATATATACGCTCTCTCCTGTGAGCCGGTAGAGTGAAAGGAAGGCATAGGCATTACCAGCCACCCCATCTGCCAATCCCACTTTCTTTAATAACCCATTTTTCCAAACGACCTCCCCTGCTTCTATGGCAGCATCACGGAATTCTCTCTCGTGTGGATACACCTTCATTGATAAATCAAATGCGAATTCTAAGTTCTAATCAATTCAATTGACATTTTAAAGTTAATTTTATGAGACTAAAATGTGGGGGAATTGTTTACCTGTGATGCCTTGGACAAAGTAATAGCCATGCTAGTCGCCCCATGAGACCATTGTACTAACTTTTCTCTAGGATTCCCTTCACTTGAGGGGTAATTGCCACTATGTGGGAACCTTTTACTCATCATGTACCTTAAAGTCCCCTTCACATCCTCAGAATCTTCTTCAGATAGAGGAAAGTGAAGCAGCACATGTAAGATCCCAGCAAGACCATTGGCTGCACCCCAATACCTTGTTCCATGCCACCGGTACATCAGAGGGCAGGCTGGGTTATCAGAGGCCCCTGCCCTGCCCCCAGCCAACACAGCATCAACAATAGGCGTGAGAAGCTCTTTGGGCACTGTTTCCTCTCCAAGGTGCTTATTTATGAACAAAGCCGCCCATAGAAACCCAGCCCTCCCATAAAGGAGATCGTATGACATTCCAAAACCACCCTCTTCAGGTCCAACAGGAAGAGCTCTCTCTTGTGCAACCTAAAAGTATAATCAAATACAATTAGATATAATGTATATATTCATAATGTTTGCTGTGTTAGTATTGTGGACTGCACAACATAAAATATTCTTCATTTTTCCATATCTATCTTGTTAAACTTAAGACTTCAACTTAGAAATCTTTTAATTGAGCAACTGGGTCTAACCAGTTCTTAATCAACATCACAAGGTCTACATAGTGCCACAAAATTACTCTTTAATTCTTCTAAAAGCATCTAATTCTTCCACATTTCTTAGATCAATAATTATTAACATCCCTAGACAACTCAATATAAAAACAAGTCAGTTTTGAAATTTATGAAGGAGGACCAACATGGACAAATACCTCAAGGAAAAGGTTCAAGAACAAGTCACGCCTTTGATGGTCCCCCATGTAATTGGCCACCACAGCACCAAGTGCATAGACTCCTCCCTTACCACATAAGAATGTCACGTGCCTGTAAAACAAACTTATGTGTAAAAATCCTCCTCAAAGACCTTTGGACTGGCTAATTCTACAACCCTCAATCGTGCAAAGTGGACGGGAGATTGTAACTTTGCAGGGTCACCAATTCCCATTTGACACTTTGCCCGTTAATCTCACTTTTGCTGAAGAAAAGGATTTAAAACAATGTTGTTTAGCAAAAATACAAAACGATATTAATTATAAAGAAGAATCACTAATATGGTTATTTGTCTTGATGCTAGCACCAAAAAATATTTGATTTCCTTCATGATATTAATATCTTTCCCACGAGTGTGAATGCTTAAAGAAAATTACTAATATGGTAATGTGCATTTAAAATGTGAGATTCTAAGAACTTAAATAATCTTGCCCAAATTAAAACCAAGATCACGATGGGAATCATGGAACCCTTTTAAAGTGTACTAAAGAAATTTACCATTTTTCTACAAACTATTAGTAGTTTTTTTTTTTGATCGGCAAAAATAAATTTATTTATTAATACGAACCATAAGGGTACTCTAATCCCGTTTCCAAGATAAAATTGTTAACCCATACAAAAACTCATCTTAAGACTATTACCAAAAAAAAAAAAAAAAAAAACTCATCTTAAGAACAACATTTTCCAACACAAATTATTATTAGTAGCATTTCCCAAATTCTAATTTTTGCAATAAAAA